AGTTAGTGATATACCAAAGAAACAGAATGCAATAAAGAAACACTTATCTTCGGTCAAGTCAATCACTATGTCTCTGTCTTCCCTAAGTGTTCTTTATAGGAGGCGTTCTCTTCTTTGTGTTGTTTGTGAGTATTTTTGAGAAGTCTGAGTTATGCGAGATACTACGAATTAGCAACAGACTCGCTGGGATAGCCCACGACAGTACCAACAATAATTCACACCTCCAGGAATATCAAAGATGTATCCTAAACACATCTAAAAAACAAGGGGAAAGCATCTTCTTTAAGGAAAAAAAAAAGTCTTATCAGTATTCCAGTATATAAAATCAGAACTAGCTCCAGAGACACATCTAGTAACAACTTTCATCAACACAGCAGAATCTTATTTAACAGCCTAAATAAACTTCTCTTAGATGAACAAGTTCATGACAAATTCTCATTACCTTCTACCATCGATAATAATACTATAACACAGAACAAAAGACTTATCAAAAAATTTATAGTTACATTAGAAAGTATACTTATCGAACAGGCCACCATCCGATAAACAGTTCACAAACTCAAAAATATTATAGCATATATCGATGGCTCCTTGGACACAAACTACAGAATGGGTTTCAGATAGAACATTATCAAAACCCCAGGAATTAACTTCAAAGGGAAAATATATAACTACCTTTCTTTCACAAGAGCTGAATTAGCCATCATCACATTATTCTTAACAATAGCTCCAGTATATAGCAATATTACAATATGTAGTGACAGTCAAGCAGTACTCGATGCCATTTTCAAAGCTCAAAGAAACCCAACCGCTATCAGAATACTCAAAAATAGTACTCTAATCAATATAATCAATCATATTATTAAATACAAAGACTTAATATAACATGAAAAAAAATTAAAGCACACAATAATAATCCAGACAATAATAAAGTAGACATGCTTGCTAAGGAGATAACTATCATAAGCAAAGTCTCAGAAATCAATTTTATCCTTATAAAAGATAGCCAGAGTCCATGGATCCAAGAGTGAAATGAACAAGTCTTAGATAACACAATATCAGAAACTACAAAGAACCTCATCAAAGCAAGACACATTTTCAGCTGGAGAATGCTAGTCTGTAATATAATCTCAACAAACAGCAATACACTACAAAGTATAGTATGGATAGAATCAATGATTTACAAATCCCATCTCAAATAGCAACAAGTGCAACTAACAAACTGAATCACAACACCAGATTCTTTAGACTTAGACTATGGAACTTAGAACTGCCAACCAAGGATAAGCTACACAAAAGGATAGCAACAACATACAAAAACAATTTCTGTATCAACTGTCAACACATCGAAACCAATATCTACACAATAATATGTGAAGGCAATGTTGCAAACATCTTCAAAAAACTACTCCAGATAATCAACGAGGAAATTAGTAGTAGAAAACAACAAACCCCTAAAAAAACACTGAACAACAAACTTAAAAAAATGAAAAATGAATAGACTCCTGAGAAAAGAAACTACATTGCAAGAGGGATACTAACAAAAGATCTTCTTAAAATAATAAAAAAATATATAATAGCAGAAAATCAAAAAGAAATTCTCAAAAATATCATAGATAAATTTTTGACAATTCTTTAGGACAAATGGCAACTGAGGTGTCAGCTCTTTTTACAATAGAAAATGAATCAAAATATAACCAAAAAAGATAAAAAAAAATGGAAAATACTAGATAGAAGAACCACTATACACAAATCATACATCCCAGGAATTAACGAAATCATAAAACACTCCAGTCAACACTAGATCAACTGGAACACAATATATTCTTTCAAAACAAATTTTTATGAAACAGGTGGAGCCTTGGCAAATTAATCAAGTATATATCAGTACTTGGCAATAAGTTATATGGTAGGACTATCCTTAATGAGTTTAATTAGGTAACTAAAAAGTTAAATTTGAATAAAATAAATTTGTATATACTTATAACAATATCTAATAAACAAGATGTTGATCTTTTGATTATAAGCTATGTTATAATTTTTAGATCTATTGTATTGTTAATAGCTACTATCATATGTAAGTATGAAATATAAATATGTAAACAAGATGTTTATTTGTTAATTGTAAGCTATGTTTCTATTTTTAGATCTATTGTGTTGTTGATAACTATTATTATGTATAAATATGAAGCAAAACATATAAACAAGTTGTTTATTAGATTACGTAAATGAATTGTTATTCAAATTGGCAAATGTGACATGCTCGTATTATGTGATTCAAGATATGGAATATTGTTATGTTGTTTATGTTACTTTCTATTGTTAAGTAATTAAGGCTTGAATATTCTCCTAAGTGTTGTGGGCTCTGAGCTTTAGCTGATTTATTGGCTGAAGTATTGTATATAGTGCTTCTCTTAGTGTCAAGAAAGGTATTAACCTGTACTGGCCTGGCTGAGAGCTTTATGGAGTTGAGTTTGGGTCTCCAAGAGCTTAATGTAAATCAGTTTTCTTGAAATTTTCTTTCCTCTGTGAAAAAAAAACTATATTGTGATAGTTTTTTTCTAATACTTACCCTATAATTGTTATTACAAAGAAGTATAGTAGTTTTGAAGCTTGATGACAAGCTATTATTGTTTTTAGACTATATGTTTTTTAGATATTGAAGACTGGCTTCTTGATTTTCAAAATATTATCAAAAAAAATTTTTTAAGTAAACTGGTGATTAGCGGAAAGAGTTTTTTTCTTAATAAAATAAAGTTTAATATTTTATCAAATTACAGAATTATGAATAAATTTAGAATCAAAACATCTAATAGCTTTAAAAAATTATAATACTAATGATTATATATATATATTATAAACTTATTAAATACCAATTTAAAAGCTTCAATAAAAATTGACTTAAAAATATAAAATATAATTTTTTTTTTATTTTTGTTTGGTATAAATATGTTAAATAAGAAATTATTAATATTTGCTTATAACATTATATGTATTTAATTAATTTGTAAGAATATATGATATATAGTACTACAAGTTTATTACATATCTTAAAAATATTTCAAATTTTTAACCAATCTAATATTTTATTAATTGGTATTTATAAAAAAAAAATAAATTAATTAAATTAATAATTTTTTACTTACTATTATATATTTAAAATAATAAACTCATTATTATTTAAATTGTCAAAATATTTTATTAATTTAAAAAAATTGTTTCTAAATTTTTCACAGATTTTAGTAAATTGTTAAGTTTATTTCTTTAATAAAAAATTGAATAAAATAAAAAAAAATATAGTTTCAATCAAAAAATAAATTTAAATCAATTATTCTATTGAGTTTTTACAAATATAAATGATAATTATAAATTAATATTTTTATTAAAAGATTTAGAAATAAAAGTTTCAAAAGAATTTAAGGAAGAATTAATATTTGTAGAAAGAAAATATAACAATTTTCTTTTATGAATAGTTATATTTAAAAATATATCTTTAATATAAGAAGTTATAAGAGTTAAAGACTCAAATTTATCAAAATAAATTCAATAATTATTAACTAAACTAAGAATATAAGCAAAATAATAATTGTATTTAAATTGTGACATTAAGAAAAATTATATATAAATATAAGCTTTTTTTATATAAAAAACATTATCACTAATAAAAAAAATAATATTTTCTAAATATAACTAATTGAGAAATATTAATATGATTAATATGATCTAAATAATTCATTTTTATTAATTTTGTTTGATTTCAAAAACTAAATAAAATATTAATAATATTATATCCACAAGTATATATAGTTTCATCAATCATAACTGAAATATTGTATATTGAGATTGAAAATATATATTTCAATTTTTCTATTTTTCTATTTCAATTTGAAAAACTTGAGATAAATAATATTTGTATAATTGATTTACACCAACTATTCCTTCACTTATAAATTAAATTATTGAATATTAATAAAAAATATTATATATATTATTAAAATAAAAATAATTTACTTACCTTCTATAAATATTTTTTTAAAAAAATCCTGTAATTTGTTTACTTTTTCAAGTGAAATATTGACTTCTATAAACTTTTTGACCAATGCTAAATTAATATTGTGTTTTTTTAATATGTTTAATTGATTTAAATGTAATAAATCTTTTTTTTTTATGTAATGAAGAATTAAGATAATTATCTTCATAAATTTCTTGGTATAATTAACAACATATTTGCAAGTAATGCAAAGCATTTTGCCATTTGATTCATAAAAATCAATTTCATAATTTTTAGAATTTATATATTCTTGAATCATAATTTTTGTTTTATTCACTGTTAGAAAAAAATCACTGAAATATTATTCAAACTACTGTATTAATATTAATATTTGTGATCATAATAATATATTCTGCCTTAATTATGCTTTTGTTACATATTATACAAGCTGCATATGTCATATAAGCCTGGACATTACAACATTTAATGTTATTTTATAATATTATTAATGGATATACTGTATGTAATAACGATTGAAATTATTTAATATGATATTATAATACGTATCACTGCGGAAAGTAAAGAGTCAGAATTATGAAACATATTTAATCTTGTATCGAAGCATATCATTATTACATCATTGTTCCTATTGTTTTCGCTGATGGCGCGCGTACTTTCATAAGGCAATCATTAACCGTGTAACATTCGAGAAAAACGTAATTTAATAAACGATAATTACATACTTCTTGCTGGTTTTTTTTATAAGAATCACAAGTTTTCTCTGACTGCTTTTTAGGATTTTAATTAACTGTCGATAAACTACAAATATCAAAATGCAGACAGAATTCTATACCAACCTATCAAAAGACTTCTCTGAACTTCTTAACGATGCCGATGATTACAACGTTAATATTAAAGTTGGAAAAGGAACCTATACTCAAGAATTTAATGCGCATTCTACAGTTTTAAGAGCTCGTTCCCGTTATTTTAAAAGGGCTTTTTCTGAACAATGGACCGTTACTAAGAAGAATGGAATTATTTCATTCGACAAACCGAATATTTCTCCTACCGTTTTTGAAATAATTCTTAAGTAAGCTAAGTCTATCGATTTTACTCTTTGAAGGTTTAAGTACTAATATAAATTTTCGACTAGGTATATTTATTCCGGAGTTCTTGATTTAAATAAAGTTTCTAGCTTCGATATTCTTAGCCTTCTGGTTGCATCAGATGAACTACTCTTAGAGGAATTATTTCAACATGTTCAAAGCCATCTTATTAAGAAGGAGAGCGCCTGGATTAAACAAAATTTTGTTACTATTTTACACACTATTTTTCGACTTGTCAGTTGCAAAGAACTTAAGGATTACTGCCTAGAATTAATTTGCGATAATCCCAAACCCCTCTTTGACTCCGAAAATTTTCCATCTCTTGATAAGGATATTTTCTTACAATTAATTAAACGTGACGAACTAAACTTTGAGGAAGTAGATATCTGGGAACATCTTATTAAATGGGGAATTTACCAAACGCCCGGGATTGAAGAGTTAACAGATAAGACAAAGCTTTCAGAAAAAAATTTTAAGGAATTAAAGAAAACGGTCAATCCTTTTATTCCGTATATTAGATTCTATGAAATCTCTTCGAAGGACTTCTTTAATAAGGTTCGACCTTTTCGAAACGTTTTGCCGAGTATACTCTTTGAAGACGTTATGTCATTCTTAATGGCCAAGACAGAACCGACACAAGAGAGCCTTCCTTCGCGCATGGGATCTATTATCGACAATTCAAAAATCATAACAAGAAAACATGCGAATATTATTTCTAATTGGATTGAAAAAAAAGATACTTTTGCGACTATTAATAAGCGATATCGGTATTACTTTACTCTCCTTTACCGCGGAACTCGTGATGGATTTAATGCTAACTCATTTCACCAAAAAGTTAATGGGCGAGGTCAGGCAATCGCGGTTATTAAAGTAAAAGAATCTGAGGAAATAATTGGTGGATTTAATGCGAACGGTTGGAGTGGAAATGGTTCATATAACCAATATAACACTTATAACTGGATTAATAATTACGATAATTTTATATTTTCCTTTGGTAGTCAAAAAAATTATAGAATAGGTCGGTTTAACGGTTCATATGGTATATATGATCAAGCTGGCACCATGATAAATTTCGGAAACAGTGATTTGTTACTTAATACTGGCCAAAACGGATCATGTAGTCAAAGTTCCTATGATAAATGTATTTTAGATACTCGTAGTTTTTTTGCTGAAGAATTGGAGGTATTTAGTGTGGTGAAGAAAAATCGGTAGGCTTATAAGTAGACATAATCAATAAATCGATGTTTTTTTGTATTATTATATTATTATTATTATTATTATTATTTTTTTTTTTGTTTTATAAAATATTCGTATTTGCAGTGTGGATTTCAATTACGTATCAAGATACAATATTAAAACGCAATTTTTGATCTTTTTTAATCAACAAAATGATAGGCCAAAAATTTTCATTCACGCAATTTTATAATTTTAACCATATAATTTTAGATGACTTTTTTCATTCTTTTATTATTATTTAACAAAACAACAATTATTTTATATGGCAAAATTAGTCAACTTTATTGAAGATACTAAGATAGATAAGAATAGAAAATACTGTATATCATACATTACAAGTAATTTGTAAAGCTATTGCTTATCTATCGATTATTTTATTAACAACTTAAGATTTATTCAAAAAATTCATTCTAATTAAAAAATAAAATAAAATAAAAAAGAAAAAGAAAAAAGAAAATAAATAAGTGAATGGTATATAGTATCTATTTTATTGTTTATTTTATTACTTTATAGTTTATATAAGAAAAAAAAACCCCTTTACTTAATTTATAAATACTTTACTTTTTATTAAAAATTTTGTAATAAATATATAATAAATTTATTTTGTGTTTAAAATTTTAAGAACAAAATATTGATTTGATTGCTTTTTACAAAATTTTCTATAGTAAAATATTTAATATTTTATCTAAAGTTGCTTTTGTAATATAAAAAAATTCAATCTATATTATTTTAATAAATTTTATTATACATAAAAATTAATTATAAATATTAATTAAGAAAAAAATATCTATAGATTGTTTATTTAATTATTGAATAAAAAAATAACAATAAAAATTTTTATTAAAATATATATAAATAATATTGCTATTTTTAGATTATTAAAAAGCAAAAAAAAAAAATTTTTTTTTAAAAAAATTAAAAATATTTTAAATATAATTATATTTTTTATTAATTTTTTTTTTTAACTGGGTGACTTACACCTTGTTTATTAGATATTATTGTAAGTATGTATAAATTTATTTTATACAAATTTAACTCTCTGGCTACCTAATTAAACTCATTAAGGAAAGTCCTACTGTGTGGCTTATTGCCAAGTACTAGTATATACTTGACTAATCTGTCAAGGCTCTACGTGTCCCATAAAAATTTGTTTTGAAGGAATATATTGTGTTCAAGTCGATCCAGTGTTGCCTGAAGTGTTTCATGATTTCGTTGATTCCTGAGATGTATGATTTGTGTGTAGAGGTTCTTCTGTCTAGTGTTTTTCTTTTTTTTTTTATCTTTTTTGCTTATGTTTTGGTTCGTTTCCCATTGTGAAAAGATTTGACACCTCAATTACCATTTGTCCTGAAGGATAGTCAAGAATCTTCTATGATGTTTTTGATAGTTTCTTTTTGATTTTCTGCTATTTGTATTCCTTTATTATTTTTAGGAGATCTTTTGTTAATGCCCCCCTTGCAATATAGTTTCTTTCCTCAGGAGTCCATTCGCTTTCTATTTTTTTTAATTTGTCATTCAATGTTTTTTGGAAGGTTTGTTGTTTTCTGCTGCTAGTTTCCTCATTAATTATCTAAAGTAATGTTTTGAAGATGTTTACACTATTGCCTTTCATATTATTGCATGGGTGTTAGTTTCGATGTGTTGACAATTAATGCAGAGATTGTCTTTGTATGTTGTTGTTGTCCTTTTGTGTAGCTTGTCTTTGATTAGCAGTTCTAAGTTCCATAGTCTGAGCCTGAAGGATCTGGTGTTATGATCCAGTTTGTTAGTTGCACCTGTTGTAATTTGGATGGGAGTTTATGGATCATTGATTCCGCCCATACTATACTTTGTAGTGTGTGGCTGTTTGTTGAGGTTAGGTTACGATCTAGTATTCTCCAACTGAAGATGTGCCTTGCTCTGATGAAATTTCTTGTGATCTCTAATATTGTGTTATTAAGACTTGTCCATTTCACTCTTGGATCCATGGGCTCTGACTATCTTTTATAGAAATGAAATTGATTTCTGAGGCTTTGTCTGTGATGGTTGCCTCCTTGGCAAGCATGTCTGCTTTATTATTGTCTGGATCGTTGTTATATGCTTTAATTTTTTTCCATATTATATTGAGTCTTTGTTGTTTAGTAATGTTATTAATAATATTGATAAGAGTACTGTTTTTAAGTGTTCTAATAGCAGTTGGGTTTCCTTGGGCTTTGGAAATGGTATCGAGTTCTACTTGACTATCACTACATATTGTGATATTGCTGTTTACTGGAGCTGTTATTTAAAATGATGCGATAGCAGCTAATTCAGCTCTTGTGAAAGAAGGGTAGTTGTGTATTTTCCTTTTGAAGTTGATTCCTGAAGTTTGAATAATGTGCCATCTGAAATCCATTCTATGGTCTGTGTCCAAAGAGCCATCAGAATATGCTGTGATGTTTTTGAGTTTGCAAATTGTTTGTCGGATGGTGGCCAGTTCAGTGAGTGTGCTTTCTGTTGTCTATAAATTTTTTTATGAGTCTTTTGTTATATGTTATAGGGTTGTTATTTATGGTGAAAGGTGGTAGGAGTTTGTTTAGGAGAAGTTTGTTTAGGCTGTTGGGTGAAATTCTACTGCATTGACAAAGGTTGTTACTGGGTATGTCTCTGGAGCTAATTCTGCTTTTATGTACTGGGATACAGATGAGGTTGTTTTTTTCCTTGAAGAAAATACACTCCCCTTGTTTTCCAGATGTGTTTAGGAAATATCCTTGATATTCCTGAAGGGATGAATTATTGTTGGTATGTGTGTAGTGCTATAATTTGACTGTGTTGCAGGTGATAGCTTTTTTCCTGCAGATAATATTTTCATTTGTTTGTATTATAGCAGTCCATTTAATTTTTTGGTTTGATGTTTCTATGGCTAGTTTGTGGGTTTGTTTCGTATCATTGTTATTTATGTATCTATTTTGTATTAATCTGACTATCTCTTAATTTTGTTGTAGTTCCCAGAACCATGTTGGTTTCTTCCTATTAGGTTTTTTGTTAGGGGTTGTGGTCTCTACTCAGGCAGCCAGACATGATCCTGTGTAGTTGGTGATTTGATTGGTGAAAAGAATTTGGTTACTTGCTAACTGTTTCTGATGTTTATTGTATCAGCCTGGGTTTGTTACTTCTTCTATTGTTATGTCTGTCTTTTTAATCATTTGAAGATTGAAGTTGGTACCTGTGAATCCATTTTGTCTGAGAAGATAAATTAGTCATGTGTGAGATAGTGACCTTGTGGGAGAAAGGTGTTTGTAAAGTGGGTGCTTATAATAGTTTTAATAGATCACTATCTATTTTGGAGTTCTTGTAGGTGCATAGTTGTGATATTTCCTATTATATCCTGTCTGTTGTTTTTTTGTACCAGTTGTTTGCATGTAGTAGAAGTTGTCTGTCCCAAAGGTGGAGAATCCATATTCCATAGGATTGAAGAGTATGGAGTTTGGTACAAATTGGGCTAGATGAAGTTAATGTTTGTAAATTGTGTTGAGGATACTCATTATCTTGTCGCAGTTGGACTTTGTAAGGACTATATCTGAGAGTAGATAAGTAATCATTGGTATCCAAACTTGATTGTGAAGATATCGGATTTGTTTGTCAGTTGTTGTTTTCCATTTAATTGTATTAGTGTATTTGATTGTTTTATCTTTGATTAGTTGTTGTTAAAAGGCTTTAGTTTTCCTACCTTTGATATAAATGCCTAGGATTTTTGCTGCTTAGTTTGGTTTAAGCATGTGTATGGATTGGTTTTGAATTTGAATTGTGTTGTTTGAGTTTGGGTTGGTGTTGAGTACTATAAGATTAGATATTGTGGTATTGATGTTGAAGTCATTGATTTTATAAAAGTCTGAACAGATGTCACATATCTCTTGGAGGTCGGTACTATTCTTTGCGAATAGGGTTGTGTTATCCATGAAGATGATGCATGAGATGTTCTGTATTTTTATGGTGGATAGTGTTGTGAGATCTGACTATTATTTTGCTGTTAGCATATATCCTCTAGTTTGTTTAGAGATGTGTGTAATGAGTGGGTCATAAAAGATTCTCCATAAGAGGTGTGATATCATGTCTCCTTGATCTATACATACCATCCTCTACTATATATTGAGGTGAGGGTCCAAAGAGTGTGAGTATGTGATTTTGTCAATTATCACATATATTTGTAATTATTTGGGTAATCTTGTTTTGGCATTTGATTTTTTTGAGGGCTTCTTTAAGTCTAGAGATGTTTATGGAGTTGAATGCTTTGACCATGTCCAGGCTCAGGATCCAAGCTTGTTTATAAGTTTGCTTTGTATCATCTTGGATTGCTCGAAGGATATGTATTGATTCTTGTGTACTAGATCCTGATAGTGCTGCCCAGTTATGTATAGAGAGGATCTATGTGATTGGAGTGTCTTGGCCAATCTATTAGTTAAGATTTTTGTGAAGACTTTTCTAGTTATTTCGAGTAGGGTGATTGGTCTTGTGATATTGATATCATTCTCCCAAGGCTTTAACTTGAGGATTGGATAGATACTACCTCTTTTTCATTCCGTTGGGACTCTTCCTTGTTTGAGAATATTGTTAAATAAGTCTGTGATGAAGGTAAGTGATTCACTTGAGAGTCTTTTGAGCGCTGTGTATGGGATGCCTGTGGGACCAGGTGCTGATTTTGAGGAGCAGCATTTGATAGTGTCTTGTGTTTCACTTGTTATTATAGGTGTTGTTACACTAGTATACCATTCTTCATTTATATGTGTGGATGGTATGTAAATCTTTTCCCATCTTGTGCCTTTGATTTTGGTAGTGTTGCACTTGCTTGTCCATTTTTTGAAGTGTGCACTGACCAGTGTTTTGATTTCTTCTGGATCTGTGGTGATTGTCTCTTCTGGATCACCTGAGATGATTTTGTTAAGCGTGATGTGTTTTTTGGGATCATCCAGAAGGTTTTTGATCATTTGTTTTTTGTTGGTATTAAAGTATGTTTGTCT